TCAATATAAAATTTGCAGTATGTATGCTACTCTGAAAAATGGATTACAACATATCTAAGAAGTTAGCGCCTACATGAACTCAAATCAACTCAAGGTCACAAATTACGGTAAGTTATAATCAAACAATAGTAAATAGCATGTTTAAAAACAGCCAATATAGATTACAATGAACTTAGTAATACATGGAAACATACTCGTGTTGCTTCTCCAGGATCCATTTCGAGTATTTGAAGCCTCATGCTTGCAATTTTCTTCCTCCAGGCCATTAGTAAAAGAACCAAATGAAACTGATTGCACCGGTCTAAAGACCACCCAACAATGCTACAAGCTTATTCAATTTCATTTTCCTTTTGTTAATTTACCCTTGCAAGCTTACACAATAATACAAACACAAACGGTTTGCGGTATCAACTGCCTTTGCTCATAACGAAAATGCAAAGAGGAAGTAACATGAACCACGAAGAGTTCAATTAGTAACTCGTTCATTCAACGTTTGTTTCAACGACTATAAAAGCCTGAACTCATTCACCAAATCCACATGATCGTAGATAGACTTAGACAACTTCTCTGCTTCTCCAATGTATGACTGGGGAGTCAAATTCAAGAGAACGCTCTTTGCTTCTTCTGGCAATTGCAAGCCATTAGTGAACTTTTGAATGCTCTCCTTGCTGACAACTCTTCCTCTTGTGAGATCCTTCAGCTTCTCATATGCCTCTGGGACTTTGTATCTGCACATAACCTAATGCAAGAAAACAAGAGAGAGTCCATCAGCAACAAGGATCTCTTTTAATCTTTAATATTATTGGTTATTTTGGTGTTGATTGAGCAAATGATACTCTTGATAGTATCTCGTTGGCAGATATTGTACTTTTATTGGAGGAAATATGGTGATCTCACGATGAAGCAGACTATCGTGCCATGATTTATTGCTAAGGTTAATTATCAAGTTATGGCTCTTGCTGCTAGAGAGATTATGTTGATTAAATACCTTCATCAGGAGATATATGTGTTTCTACCTCAGGCTATGGAAATACATCGTAATAATCAGGTTCTTGTTTATATTGCCAATGGTACAGATTAAGTCTCATGAGAACAAGAAGTGTATAAAGGTTGATTGTCACTTCATTATGAAATGATATTGAGCAAAATGTCACTTCACATGTCAATTCAAATAGATAAAATGCTGGGGGAGTTGGAATTAGATGTCCTATATCAAACCTTAAACAATACAACATACAAGCAGACCTTTGATATTACATCATATAACCAACAAAAGCAGAAAAAAGAAAATTTATACAAAAGCAGTCATAATAAAGTCTAAAGGAAAGTGCAGTGCACTGTCATGACTCACTGTTTGTATTGGTTCTGCAAGCACCTCCCACACCTGGTCCAGGTCTTCATTGAGATGAGACTTATTTACCTACACATGATGGGGAAGGAATAAAGAATTAAGAAACGAAGAGAGTTACAAAGCAGTGTAATTTCATGAGTCTATGTCATTATTAAATATGTAATTTAGAATGAGACATATTGATAGCACTGTATCAAAAATGTACAATCAAAGTATTATTACTTTAAAATAATGAGCTTTAAACTTCAAACTGATTTGGGCAAGTTTCAGAATAAACTTGATTAAATGTTAACATTGGGATTGTCTTTATACATCGGCAACATATTGAGCAAAAAAGGAGCTTTTGCCACTTTTAGATGTATCTTTCTTCGCATCAACTACTAGGACGTACAGACAGAATTTTTTCAAAAGAATCATGTCAGATATCATAGTTATGGATCCCAAATAATAGATCTAAAGGAAATTAAAAAGGATAGCAAAGACATAGTTCATACAATATTTTTGAGGGAAATGGTTAGTACAATTTTAGAAAAGAAATACTTATATAGAAAAAAACTTAAACATCCGTAAAAATCATATATATTATTAGATGGATGTAAATTGGATAGAAATTATGTTGACAGCAAGACAAGAATTCATCTTGAAATGGATCCTCCACATTTCTATGATCTTGTAATTAACAGAATTTAGCATCTTGCATTAGTGACGAATTCAAATTCAACATATGCCCAACCCAAATAGCTAAAGCAAGAATAGAATAAACAACATACATGAAGCAAAGAACGACAACAGCGGCACATTTCCTACCAATAACACATCTAGCTTTATATCTAACTCTCTAGTGATAACCATCTCATACAGATTTTACTACTAACCTGAAGCTTCTGGATTCCTTGTAGTGCACTTTTGTATGCCAAGAGAGAATACCCAGATCCAATACCCAAATTCCTCAAAACAGTGGAATCGGTCAAATCCCTCTGTCAATGATTACACATGCAATAAGTATAGTATCACTTTACCAGAATGAGACACTAAAGACGTGTTTTTTGAACTGTGATATAGCACTAAACTTCACATTAGGTACTCCTCAAGAACCATGAATAAAGGTGGAAAAGTAAATAATACACACCTGCATACGAGAGATGGGCAATTTCGAGCTAAGAGCAGATAAAATAGCATTAGCCAAACACAAGTTGCCCTCACTATTCTCAAAATCAATGGGATTAACTTTATGAGGCATAGTTGAAGATCCAATCTCCCCAGCCTTGGTCATCTAGAAAGCAAAATTATCATGAAATTGTTTAGTTCCAAATTGGAAGTTTGGGAGCTAAAATAGGTCCTAATATTTTAGGGGCATGTGGTCAAGCATAAGAAAGTTACCTGCTTAAAATAACCTAACGAAATATAGCTCCATATGTCCCGATCAAAATCAGTCAGGATGTTATTAAACTGAACAACTGCATTGAAAAGCCTTGCGATATAGTAATGCGGCTCAATCTGCACACGGAGCAAGCAACAGGCTCAGAAAGAGAGTATGCATGCAAGTCAAGTGTCATTCCATTCATAGGCCACATTGACGTAACCTTTCAGACAATACAAACTTAACAAAATTATTAGCTGGCGCTACAATTCCATTATTATTTATGCACTAACTGGTTGGTGTAGAATAGGCTAATTGATAAATGTACTGTAATTCCAAGATAGATGGATAACCTGCAAGTGTATCTACTTATTATCAAGCATGCACATGGTAGTATCTACTTACTATATGAATCACCTTTTGTAAACTCTTGAAACGTGAAATGGCAAAAAAAACCTACATTTCAGTCACCTGAGTCGAATGCAAAACTCATATTAAAGAAAATCCCAGGCTCTATTAGTTATACACTTATACAGTTTGTATAGTTGCCTAAATCTTCACAAGGACTGTTTACTAGTAAACTAGATCAAGCAGAGAACAAGGAATACAAGCAACAGTGTCAAAACAGGTAAATAAAGTACTCATCCCATTAATGAAACCTATCCAAGTCATCCACAAAGAAAAAACCATATCAAACTCGTCTATGCATTACTTAATTACGCAAAAAAAAATCCATCAAGCTGAAATGAATCAGATAGGTAAAACCTTGCAAAGAGAAAAGTAGTAGAAGTAAATAAACATGTCTGTGTCACATAAGGGTTGAAACCTAACCCCAAAGAGGTCACGAACTCAGCTGCAACAGTTGGCCAATCAATATCAGGATATGCAACTTTATGTGCATTGTAGTTTCCAACAGCTCCAGCACACTTGCCCAATAGTTGCACTTCTGTAAAGGTCTTCCCTACTTCACTTAGTATGAAAGAAAAATTTGTCATCTCCTTTCCCAAAGTAGTGGGTGAAGCAGGCTACAAAGGGAGTTAGAAGATATCAGAACTAAACCACATAAACCTATTACAAAAGCAAATCATTTATTCCTGTAGCATAACGATGAAAAATTATCAATATGATATTTCAGCTGCTTTGAGCAGTCAACTTAGTATATGTCCTCTTCTAATATTGGCCATGTCACGCCCCGGGCTGACAGGCCCATTGGTGCGGTACAAGCTGTGGGACCCAACATGTGTAACGTGTTGTTTGGCTCAATCCACTGCCAAAATCGACTAACCGATATTACACTTAAATAATTTAAACCACATAAATTCTCACTCATTTCCTGATGTGGGGCTAAATAGGAGTGTCACAAACACTCCACCTTACATAAGCGACTTCCTCATCGTGACATAACAATTGGCACATCCCGGTATCACTAGGCTATTTGGACTCTAGAGGTGGCTCCCGCCGCACTCACGCAATATAGCACTTAGCCCCGCATAACACTTAGGCCTCGTTTGGTACGTGGGAATGGGGTGGAATGGAATGGTCATTCTCACTTCTCATTCCTTCCTACCAAACACACCCTCTTTTTTGAAGTTAGAATGCACATTCCCACTTCTCATCAATTCTTACTTTATGTGGGAATGAGCATTCCTAATGAAATGATAGGGAATGGGCATTCCCACTTAAATGAGAATCAATAAAATATACAATTTTAAAATACGTCCATTCCCACTTCATTTTATAAATTACACTCAAACGTGAGAATGAGAATGACTATTCTATTCTCACATTAATTCAATCTCATCCCTTCTTCCATTCCATTCTCATTTGAGTCCATTCCCGCGTACCAAACGAGGCGTTAGTTCCACCCTTCCGACTTGCAACTGCTCTGATACAATTTGTCACGTCCCGGGCCGCCGGGCCCATTGGTGCAAAACAAGCCGTGGGACCCACTAAGTGTAACACGTTTGGCTCAACCCACTACCAAAATTGACTAGCTGATGTTACACTTAAATCTTGGGCTTACTTATTTAAGCAACTTAACTTCTCACTCATTTTCCGATGTAGGACTAAATAAGAGTGTGACAGGCCAGAAAAACAAAGACATGATTATATTATTTTTAACCTTCAAATTGAAAAGGTTCCATTTAATTTATTTCATAGCATCAAAGCTAAAAACTCATGAAGAAAGGAATGTAGAACATGTCCTGCAAACATATATGAACAAAGATAGACAGTATAAACTTTATCAAACCAGTAATTATACATGATGTATTAGCCCCATGTAGAAAATTCCTGAGTTTCAGCATGTAATCATTATTTAATTATTTCTATATAAGCCCCACCCACCCAAAAAAAAACTTAACTTTTGTATAAAAAAATTTCACCAAAATGACCAGCCAGAAATCTTTTGAGTTATTTCAACCAAAAAAGATCCACTACCAGGACATTAGGGAAAATTTCTTAGTGGAATATTACCCTGTGCACCTTAGATTAAGTTTAACTTTTTAAACCCAAGAGTACTTTGTTTTTCTTTGAGTACTCCCACTTCTCTAATCCTTCTCTAAACGTGCTCTTGTCAGTTGCATCCCTTCTCCAGTTGGGATAAATTTCATTAAGAATTTAGGATTGCTAAATAAATTAGTTCATGGAAATGAAAAAGAATTTTTCTTTTTCCTTGAAGCATTCTCTAAATTTTCTTAGTCTAATAGCTTCTGATTCTTTTTTTAAATCAATATATACAATAAACTATGTCCTTCTATGTGTAAACACAAATAAAAGGGAAATATAAGATTTTCAATTATGCTTTTATAGCATTAAAGTTTTTGTAGATAACATCTAATCAACAAAAAGTTGGTATTCCGTTATAACAAGAGTTAAAGTTTTTGTAGATAACATCTAATCAACAAAAAGTTGGTATTCCGTTATAACAAGAGTTGCCTCTCATATAGAACTGAAAATACATGTCCATGAGTGCGAGACAACGTGGAGATATGAGCATTTTCCTTCGATAATTTGCATATTGCATTCAACAACTCAATCATCACAGGAAATATGACAGTGTTGAACGCCTCCTTCAGTGCTAATGCATGGGCTAAATTATTTATATCCTCTGATGTACAAGCAAAATGGAAAAACTCCAGTACCTAAAAAAGATTTTTGTAGAATCTGATGACAAATATTAAGCATCAAATAAAATCTTTAAAATCACAGTTAGTCATAGTTATAAAAAGAGGAAGCATAGAGTACCCACAACAAGGAACATAAAAAACTCACCTCAGCAATCTCAGCATTGGATTGACATTTCTGTTTCAAGAAGTATTCCACTTCTTTAACATCGTGGTTAGTTACTTATTCAATCTTTTTCACTTCTAGAGCATCAGCTTTGCTGAAGCCACTAACTATACTTTTTAAATAAGACCTGGCATTCTCGCTAAAGCTTTGAACCTCCTTGATTTCAGGTATTTCTGATAATTTTAGTAACCATTTTACCTACAAAAGAATCGCTTCATATTAACATTTTGCACTAAGTAGCCAACATGAAAATAACTACAGTGGCCAGCTTTGTCAGATCATGATGGGTAATGGAGAAAGAGGTAAACCTTTTTTACTTGTAAGTTACCTCTTTCTCCATTACCCAAGACATGACTACACTATGACATGTTTTAATGAAGATTGCTACCTATATCAAAGCAGAGGCTGGACGTTTTGTCAGATTGTAAAAGAAAGCACACTAATAAGCATGACCTAAATAAACAATGTTCGATGGACTCATATAGAAACTGCTAATACTACATCATATGCAAATTTATTAGAAGAGGGATATTATTGTCAGATATACATATCAAATATAAATATTCCAACGGTTCACAGAACATTTTAGGCACAACTTTAAACCTTTAACTAAGGCTTTAAACCTTTTATCTAAATACCTAAGACATATTATGATTTGTAAGCCAGACGGAACAAGAATATCCAATCAACAACAACAGTTTCTTCATGCTTTACCAGAAACATTTCTTTATTATTCGCTACAAAAATGATTATATAATCTACATTTAAATATAAAACCATCATTCTTTAAAAAAACATAATGTAAGACTAACATTGTGCACCGGTGTTGAATAAAAAAATACTTATTAAATATGTATTCTTACAGGAGAATTTAATGAAAATTACCTCCACCATTACATGGTAACGGATTAACACATATTCACCAAAGAATGGATGCAAATCCTTGACTTTCTGCAAATATCGGCCATCTAAAGGTGATAAAGCCATAATGCTAAAAGACTCAAGATCAATAACCTCCTCTTCACGATGATGCTCCATCTAAAACATTAAAGTTCACACAGCCAAAACATTAAAGTTCACACAACCAAAACATATTCAACCAGTTGTCCAAATATGAGGAAAATTGAAGAAAAATGATCACCAAAAAAATTAGATCATTCCGGATCAAACTTAATCATCATTGAAGATTCACAAGCCCAATTATTGGATGGAATACAGCTCACTATAAATTGGGGACTGCCAAAGGATCATCTTAATTTTTTTAAAAAAATTAAGAACCTGAAATTCAAAATATAACAGTGGAAGCCCTACATTACAAATTCAGAAGAAGAAGAAAAAGTGACCTATACCATATGATATTTATCATTTACTAAAAGTTTTATGCTCTATCCCAAAATATTCCCTCTTGTAAACTTATAAAAAATCATATCTTTATTCAAAAATCCAAAAGATGCCACTTTTGAGAAACATTTCAAGATTATAGTATATGAGATTTAAGAAAACTTAGCAACGAAATAATCACAAAAAAATAAAAAACAAGCATGCAGTCAATAAAAGGTAGGGCTTGCGTTCGTGAAAATTCCCCAGCCAGGAAACCGGGAATGGAGATCTTTACCTTCGTAGTCGTGACTCCTTCTGAACTGCTCAACGAAACCCTAAGTGGTTCGAATCACCGAGGAGGGGTGGGCTGAATCCGAAACCCTAGCTAGCCTGATCGTCTGCTGATCGAAGACGAAGAGGGAGAGAAGGAAAAGGGCGGCAAGAAAGCGAACGGGGCTCGAGGGGGTGATAAGAGCTTTTCCATGGAGCAGGGCCGTACCTAGAAATTTTAGGGCCCAAGACGAAATATTAGATGAGGCCTAAGTGATACAACTCATAATAGATTTTATCTCATTCTTCTTACCTTTTGAGCTGCAAAATTACTAATTAAAGTTTTATATTTAATATTTTTTAACATATTATTTTCGATAGATAATATTGCTAAACTATTCAATCTATCTTGTAACATGGTCGGTCTTAAATAAGATTTTAGTAATTTTAATTTTAAAAAACTTCTTTCAGCGGAAGCAACTGTTACGGGTATAATCAATAGTACACGATAAACAATACAAGTATTTGGAAAAGAATCTAACCACTTTATATAGTTCAGCACTTCAATTGGACTATTAATCTCTACTTTTAAAACGAAATTTAGGTTGTACGTTCATTTCAATAGCAAGTTCTTTAGTTGAATTCAAAGCAGACATAAAACCATTTTGTCTATAATTTTCTAAATATACAATAAGACCATTTAATTGATCTATGGCAATATCCATATGCATATCTTTAGATTGTAAGATTTTACTAACTGAATTAACAACAAACAGTATGTCATACCAAATATTCATAGCTAATAAGAATTCAAAATTTTCAATCTTATAAATTGCTAAGCTATTAGCTTCACTTTTTATCTTTGGATCTTCACTAATTTCTGCTAATTGAATCAAAGCATCTCTTATATTTGGAGCTTAAAATTTTATTGCTTTTAACACTTTCAATTCGACTTTCCCATCAAGTTTGAGATAAAGATTTAACGGATAACTTGCTAATAACAATTAATTTCAAAGAAGAAGTACACGATTTGTGAAGGCATGTTAACCAAAAACACCCATAAAATTAAAAGAAACAAAAATAAAAAACAAAAGGAGTAAGTTCCAAGTTTAAC